AACACTAATCAGAGTAAACAAACACCTCTGCTTGTTCCAAAGATTTTCTGTCAAACAGACCCAGCCTGAAGATGTTTGAATCCACACTTGGCCACCAAGACTTCTTCTGTCTTTAGGAGACAATACTACCTCCCAAACGCACACAACAAGGCACACAGCAACGCTGGGAAGTCAGAACTCTACAGACTAAGTAAAATACTTACACCTTTTATGCCTAAAGAGGCACTTCAAAATGTATTTCATGTTCATTTAATTGTAATTAAAAACAAATGTTTTTTTTATATATATATATTTGATTATATTTTATGCTGTTTTTAATCCTGTTTCACATTTTTTTTTACTTCATACAGTCTCTTTTTTTTAAAAAAAACCTTTAAACTTTTTAGTACAACTGCTCTTGGTTAAAATTCTGATGTAAAAAAGATTTACATCTACGTTTACAGAATCCTAAAGCATTTTAAGGAAAATGCCCACTCAACTATATCAGAAATAAATAATGTTATTTATTTACCTACATTTTTCATAGTGTAATAATTTTCTTTTATTAAAACTTAAAACTTTAAAACTAAGTAGAAACCTGAAGGGTTTGGATAAAAATTGAGTATTATGTGGAGATGAATGTTGACACTTTTTTCAAACTTGGCAAAAAAAAACAAAAAAAAAAAAGATTATCTTTTAGCTATTTACTGTTACTAGAATTAGGCATATTATTACAGCATAATTTCCTTCAAAAGCATCATTTTAGTAAAGGTTAATTTATCAAATGGAATTGAGAAAAGATAGACAGCTTCCAAAAGCTGATGAAATAAGATAAAAGATTGCTTTTTTAATTTGTGTTCTTAATTATGGTGATATTCTGGTCTAATTAATTGAACCTAAAGCTCACAAATAAAAAGGAACATCTGAAGTTTAAATATTTCTTTCCTTTTTATTTACAGGTTGATTTAAAAAGTAAAGATTTTTACTCCTCAATGGAAAATCTGCATTAAGATATTCATTGCATTTACTTAAAAAGAAACTAAGCTTATTCAGTAAAGTCACTGAAGTATTAGTCAGTATTGTAAGATATCCTGACAGAATTCAAATAGTCCTTGTCAGTTGCTCACAGAGAGCTGAGCACCTTCTAAAGGTCAGATCCCAGTCACCCCTGGTGTACATGATCAGAAGATGAAGTGCACTGTTGAGATTTATGGCAAATTTACCTTTTTGTTATTCTGGCCCGTTAATTTTATTTTCATTTTAAAAGAACACTTACTACATCAAGGTTAGGCAATATTTTAGTCAACCCCAGATGTTTTCTTCTGTTTATAACCTTTTTTTTTCTAAAAACCAAACACTACACACCACTTTTACATAACTGAAACTCTTACAGGTCCTTCAAGGTTGTTTTTTTCTTTGCTTTTGGAATTTTCCCCAAATATTTTCCATCCAATGTTTACATTGGTATTTAAAAAATGTCCTGCTGTTGTTATAAGCACTGTTCCATATATCTTCTGATGAACGATCCTTGTTTTCACTATGCCACAAGAAACTTTTAAGGCTGTAAGATTTTATTTGCGATCTTATCCTAACTACCGGTAATCTCTTATACAGTTATGTTTTCAGACTGTTATAATCTTTGTTTCAATGTAGGATTTTCCTTAAGTGTACATTTAATCCCCAATTTTATCTGCAAGTTTTGGGGGCTACTGGTGCCCATGAAACATTCATTGGGGCAAGAGAGCAGGGCCTATTATGTCACCCATCACAGATCAACACAGAAACACACTACCACGCACAAACAAATCACTGCTAAGGGCAACATAGAAAGATTTTGACTACCTGGGGATAACATGCAAAGCTCATAGAGAAAAAAACACACATGCTTGGATTTGGGCTAATTGAAGAATAAATCAGATTCATGGTAACGACAATAAGACAGAATGGTAAAAAAAAAAAAAAAATCAACTTTTTTTTCCTTTTATAGGCTAATAAAACAAAAATGTGCAAATAAATCAAATCTGGTTGTTTCAACTTTTTTCATATTTTTTCTCAAACAATTGTGGTTTACAGTTTATTTCAACAGATATAGGATTAAATCAAAACATTACAATTCAGAACTCTGATTTAAGTGATAGTTAAAGCTTATCCTATCGTTACTGCCCTCAGCACAAAACATATAATATTATCTGAAAAATCGCAATGTGAGTTTGGGTAATAAGTTATTAATTAAAGCAACACATTTGAAAAGACCAGTGCCTCAGAAATTCACAAATTAGACAACTAAGAAAGTTGCTCACCTAACTTATTCCATATATCAGAAAAAGGAAACATTTTAGGGGCCCAGCAATAAGCAGGGCCAGATTCTGCATACTTAACAAAAATGAGTCTTTGTTTCCCTCCTGTGGTAAAAGAGGGAACAAACACCAGTCAAATGCTGAGGGAAAAATCTTGTGAAGAAGCTGCTTTTCACCTAATCTATTTTTTCCCCACATTGCACAAATGATCCAAATTTTCCACATTCTGTGTATTTAGTTTTATATTTAGCTTTTTCTTAAGGAATAATGGTATATTTGAGATTTAACAGATGTTAGGATAATTATCATTGAAGATCTGTGAGTTTATTACACCCTGGTTTGGGCTACCTGTTGCGCTTCAGAACTGATGTTTTAATCTAATTAGGACAGTTCCTCTGTCTGGATATACAGTTATAATCTTTATTTTCTATGTGGCAAAGATTTGGAAATGGATTGAGAGTGGCGCCTTATTTTGATAAGGCTGGAGCCATGGATGTCTAATCATCTGCTAACGTGTATGATGTAAAATACTGTATGATGATGTGGCAGACTCGAGATTTATAAAATGCCTTTTTCACTGTTAATTGGGGCAACTTCCTGAGAGGTGAGCCCAGAGGTGAGCAGCTGCCTTCTGTAAACTCAGCAATTTCTCTGATCTGAGTAAGATTACAATTTCTATCAGAATCTGTTGTCATGACTCCTGGTTATTTATTACATATAAGTTATGACATGTTATTCAAAGAGTTTGTCAAGGTGCATACACAGATATTTAACACAGACATTTATGGAGACATAACACCCTCATTTAATGTAATATAATGTAATGAAATCCTGGAGGATTCATTATTGGAATTAATTTATCACAAGGTAACTATACAGATATTCTCTTTTTTTTAGTGAAAGCTAAAAATATTCAGAAGTGTATAAGAAGTGGATAAATGAAGCTCTGGCATTAATTAAATGTGGAAGACAAAATTTATTAATATTTTCATGTCCGTTAAATGGTTCTTTTTCTCAGTGTGAGTTTTTCTAGGTTAAAATGGTGTTAAATTTATTTTTTTGTTCGTTTGTGTGATTTTGTTAATGCTGCTTGACTTTTCTAACCCACCAGATATGTGACTTGAAACTGTGGGAAAAGCACAGGGAAGCCAGCTGTGTACTTTCGCTTGTTTAAAAACAGAACTTTCTAGGGAGGAGTGAAGACCTTATCAACATATTTGTTCTCTTCAAATTATCTTAAGTTGCAATTAATGCTGTGAATGACTATTATTGCTCTTTATTTAACCACTAAGGAGAACTGTTGTTATAATTTACTTGTGTTGATAAGTATATTACAATTTTCTTAATTGAAACAGGTGATTATTGTTTTTTAATTACCATTATAACCCATGTAGGTTTTACTATAAGTGCTCATTTTTATTTACAGATAATATCGCAACATTCCTTTAACAAAGCATAAGATGCACAGATGTGCGACGTGGGTATCTGTCAGTCTATTACAGCTTTTGTTTGCCAGTTCCATGCGGTTTTTGTTTAAAGATTTTCTTGAATACATCAGCTTATTAAGGATTTTGAAACACCTGCTTAAGACTTCTTTGCAGCCTAAATCCATGGGCAGTTCTAGACAGGGGCCAACGGGGGCCAGAGCCCCTGTAAATCATGTCCTGGCCCCTTTTATGGCCCCTGTACCGAAGACATAATACCAAAGAAATTCTAATGATGATATGCGCTGGAACAGGCATGGTTACTGATAGATCCTTTGGATCTATTTCATTTTTTTCTTTACGAATTCTGTTTTATGAACTATTTGAAAACAATAAGGTGATAGCTTCAGTGGTATTGAGATAGAATCCCAGTTTTCATCTGCTAAATGTTTTTTTAAAACAAATTAAAAAAATACTAAATTTTTTACTGCTGAATTTAACAGTTTTTCTTAAATTCTAATTCAGATTTTATATAAAACCGAAATTTCAACTCAAATTAAGTCAAAAATATCTAAAATTCCTAAATGTGTATTGACCTAATAGGACATTTAGAATTTTAATGAAACCTAATCACTCTTTATTTATTTGAATCCCTTGCCCTGTTTTTTATTTCATGCTTTTCTGTGGCCCCATCAAAACACGCTGCCCTCCCCCCGGCCCCCCTGGTACATTTGGTCTTGAGCCGCCACTGACTAAATCTCTTATACTATTTAATTTCTCCTCCTCCTTAGTTAATTTGCTCTGCTTTACAGTCATTCTAAGAATGTGGTTATTCCTGCTGCAGCTTTTATTTCCTTTTTGTTAAGTTTCCTCTTACAAGTTAAATTGGATGCATCGCCCTTCAGCCAGACCAGTTGTGACTCATTATGGACGGTTAATCACTGCTTGACAATCATCAGTCTTTCACATGATTTGGACCATAAAAAAAAGATTCAGCATATTCGGTTCATAATTCGTCTATTGTTATATTAAAATGTATGGCTACAGATAAATAAAAATTAAGTGTTTTCAACAATTAGGTATTTTGGAGGTGGCCTCGTAGACCCATTCATTTTTGATGACGAGTTCAATGACGTGTAATTAATTGTTTTTTGTCTGTTGTTGGCAACCTTGTTTGCATCGCTGGTTTCAGTTTATTGTTTTTATTACGTTAGGTTTCGTTTCTTCAGACTCTGTAAGTGTTTCGATGTGCCCGTTTTAACATTCGGCCCCGTCCGTTTACTAATAGCGTTACTGTTTCATTGAAAGCCGCAGAGCACCGCCCGTCTGGAGTGTTAGAGGGTTAAAAGCGAGCAATCCTCAATAGGATTTTCTTCGTATGAAGTCGTATGATTTCCTCACACATCCGTGAAGAGAGATCTAGAGAACGTTTTTGCTACATTTTTTGTCACACTGTGATCTAGAATCATGGTCAAACGGAGTGTATCTTCACTCGTCCAAATTGGAATGGACTTTTTCGAGTTTTTAAACGAGACCAAAAGGACTTCCATCACAGACAGACTCCAGCTTAGAGACATTTACAATAATGAGTTCAGGTGCAGGTGAGTAAATAAACCAATCTATATCCAGGGCAGACCAAAATTTGATATGTATTTAATTTCATTCTAATATTTCCTTGATTAAAGGAATCCAGGAATCAAAGATCCAAACTTTGGTTCAGTAATTTACGCCCTCAAAGTGTGTAAAATGGTAAAAAGACGGCAAGACAACATAAAATTCACTCCAAAGGTTAGTAAACATTTATCTTTTTTTTGGCATTGGC